TAGCTGTAGGAGGACATTCAGGAGCACCACCCAAAGACAAGTACCTCTGAAACAACCATGGAAATGTGGAGTTTTTCCGTGGACAGGTCATCACTCACTTACAGAGAGCTTCATAAATACTCTGAGCCCTTTGTGTACCTTTATTACACAAAACGATGCTAACCTTGGGAAATTATAAATAAACTCTGCTCTTCAGTGTCTGGGAGACTTGAATTCCTTCTGTCCTCTGAGGCAATAACCAAAAAGATAACTTTGGACAGATGCTAAGCTGAGCCTCTCAGATAGTGTGGGGCAAGTGGACTCCAGCTCAGTTCATTCAGAGCAAAGTAGGAAAAAAACACTCTCCAGTAATCACTTCAAAAAGTATTCTACCTGCTTAAATCTCTTCTTGGAGAACTTAACTTTCACATTTGATCCTATTTTTCAGAATAATTCTTACTGTCTGCAACTGTCACCACCTGAAGTGTGTTTTTGTCATATTTCCCACTTATTTAAACATTATAGATTTTGACTTTAAAAAAGAAATGAGGCCGTTTGCTGCCTACCTACTTAGTTGATTTCATAGCCTACAGTTGATTTCACAGGTCAAGTTTCAGGAACTATGTCTCTCTCGATCAAGATATATTGTCTTGGTTGTTTCTTACAGATTACACATTTGAACTTGCCTGGGACCACATGCTATCACCATCAGCTCAAGCCAAGGGTGCATTTTTTACTGTAATGTGGCACTCAGCCCAGGATGGGGAAAGAAAAAAAAAACTGATGTTCTTTTCATATGCACAACTTCCTCACTTGTTGCAAACATAATGCCTACTCTGGCTATTTTCTTTCCTATGAAAGGTTTTATTAGGATATCATTCAAGAGTTAGATTTTATAATAGTGCAAACAAAAATAACCCCAGCTATTTCAGTGACCTCAGTGTAATCTTAGTGTATCCTTTTTCTACATTGCTAGTAAGTTTTGATTGGATTTTAGAATTAGTTCAAAGGTCCTGTATTCTAGGAAATGTTAGCTTTTGAAATAGATATGATTGAATAATGATTCTGAGACCAAACTAGAGATGACAAACAGCCGCTGGAATAATTAGGTGGGCACAGCAAGAAGTGAACATTCACTTCTTATTTAGAATCAGAGTTAAGAGGCAAAAGAGGTTAAAAAATGTCACTGGAATTCCTCTCTTTCAGGATGAGGAAACCAAGAATCGGGAAATTTACCAATGGCTTACAGACGTTTTGTTCAGGGACAGGCTTACAAACAAGTTATTCTGACTCATGATCAAATACAACTTCCACTTCACTTACTGATTTTCTTATTCTCTTTAAAATAAAGTGTCTTTATCTTAGATGGAGAAGCTCAATTTTAAGTTTCACGTTAATGTGACCTGAATTTATTTCTAGAATAGTCCTTATAAAACGTCCATCTTTGAAAGTCATATCTTTGATGACTCTGTCCCAGTTTGTCAGATTATAGGGGATTAAATACATCCTCCTTGCTGAAAGGAAAGAGATGTAGATTGCTGGGATAAAAACAAATTCTTTCTTGAGTTTTAGTTGGTGACACCTGAGATATATATAGAGATATATATCATCATTTGTGATATATATAGATATAGATATCTGTATATATCGCATCAGGAAGTATCATGCCTGAGATACTTCCAACTGAAAGGATTCTGTCCCTTATTTGTAAAATTCAGTGTAAAGGTATAGAAGCACAAATCAAGTAAAAGGGACTTTCTTTGCTTTTTCTTAAAGTTATTTTCTAAAAACACAGCAAGAAATTTCTCCAGGATATAAGATATTTCTTATATCCCACATTATATCAGAATTAAGGTGACAAGCTTTCTCAATGCTTTTGTTGAATGGAAAACAAAAACAGAGTAATCTTTTCCTCATCAGAGTGTAGGGAACTTCCTGGAAGCTACTTCAGTGAGATGTCCTAGGTGGTGAGGAGGAAATAACAAGACACCTGGGAGCTGGTGCAACAGTCACAAAGCCCTTCAGGCTGCTCCTCTGTATTTCTTTATTTTCCTTGTTTTGAGGTCGGGCAAAATTTGGGAGAATTCCCACTCAAGTCCTGAAGGATCAAGGTGACCAGCCTCTGACTTGTGACTTGAGCAGGGCGTGAAGCTGAAAGTACATTTGTGAGGCTTCCTTTGGCTGAGGCAACCTTACACTTCAGCATTTAGTCCTGCTTTCCATTTTGACCTGTACGGTACTTTGGTTCTTTATTCTCATTTAATTTTTTTTTTTTTTCTTTAAGATTTACAGGTTTAGCTGAATTTGGGCCCTGCATGAAAAATGAAGTTTACACAGTTTATATTATGTACATAAACTAGGCATTTACATTGATTTACACATGATTGGTGCCTAATTTATTAATCAGCACAGAGTATGTAAATGTGCTGAGAAGAAATCAAGATTTTAAATAAGTTTTCCATAATATCCATAAACATTCCACGGCTGTAAATGTTAAACCTAAACCTAATGTTAACACTAGATTCCTTGCCAAGAGAAAAGTGATGTACATTTCTGGGTGAAAACAAATTCTTTCTTGAATTTCATTTGGTGACATTTGAACAACACAGCTCAATGCAAATGAGGATAGTTTCTCTCTTCCCACTAGCATGCACACTAATGTGAACTCCATTTTGCATTTGGTGGGTGTTTACAGATATTATGTCAACCATGATGGAATATTTACACCACTGGGGCAAATGCAGTCTTTGGAGGAGAAATATTGTAAGTACTTAGGAAAGGGGAGTTCCTAAACTGGGTATGTGTTTCTTAACTCAAGGACTTATCTCACCATTTCTGTCGTATGTTTATTTGTCTTCAGATTTTTATAATTTTTTTTACATCAGATAGATCATTGCATTTATATTGCTATAGAAACTAATAGTTATGAGGAACCAGGATTAAATCTGGGGTAAATTTTTATGAAGATGAAGGAAAAAATGAGGACATGGTTATTCCCAAAGTACATGGTCCATAAATTTCTTTTAAACAAATAGTTACAAAGTGGGCATAATGGGGTCCATGTCTTTCTAAATGAAGCCTTGCTCTTTTTTTAAAAAATAAAACAAATTCATTACCTTTCTTCCATTTAAGTTTCAACTGTTATGCTAAGTTTTTCTTATAATACATATGTTATTGTAAATATAGTATCTGTAAAGATTTAAAAACACACACACATATTATTTTTTTCCTGCAAATAATTCAAAGCCTGCAAAAAACAAAATGAGAAATTCAAAGAGATTAGCCTTAGAGACAGTCAAAGCATAACCAACTCAGGGATGAATGTGTGACTCTGGAGTAAGAAATTAAGAACTCCATAGATAATAACTCAAATAATTTCATGCTGAGGAGTTTTAGTTTTGAGTGCAAAGGAGGTAAGTCCATTTTCAGAGGTGAAACAGATTTTTGTTTCTGTCCTCCAAGAACATGAAAATCACGAGTACTTTTATGGGTCTCTATGATAGCCCCATTAAAAAAAATGCCCATGGCCTGGGAGAAGTCTGTCTGCCTTGGAAGGCAAAGGCCTGTAGGATTGCTTCCCAATAGAAAGTAGAGCTACTCTTCCATAAGCTTTAAATCTTCTACAATAGAGGGATTTTTATTTCTTAAAACAAGAAAAGCTGTTGGTGTAACAAGGCAAAAACCTTTCAATGAACAGCTTTACAAAGAGTATAACTAAAATTCTTTAGTTATAAAACCTAGGAGAGTTTTCATTCTTCAAGAAGTGTCCTGGGTCATTCTTCAGGAAGTGCTACTTCCACTTTTCTTAACCGAAAGTTAGGGCTAAGGATTTTATTAATGGGAGTTTCATTTTGTATACAATGGGCATGAGATATATTTAGACACTGAGATTATCTGGTGCATTCCACACCTGTCAGTATATTATGTCCACAAAGTTGACGCTTTTCCGTGCTTTGATTGCCAATAGACAAGTTCCTAAAGAGATTTATAACAATATAATGAACTAATTTTAAAAGTCTCTTACTAAGACTTGATAGTTTCTTGCTGTCAGTACTCTGAGCTTATGTTTATTCTCAACTTTTGTCCAAACTGCAGTGACTTCTATACCCCACAAAGCTGAGAGATATTCCCTAGCCTACGAAATTTCTGGGGCCAATATTTTCTGTGCAACAAGAGCAAGAAGCAAAAATTTTAAAATCACAAATCTTGCAAGATATAGGCAAACACCACATTTTTACATATTTGTTTAATTATGTTTAATATATGGTCCATTATATTAAAATCAAGATAACAAATGATACTGATGTGGCCAAGACATTCCTTTCAATGGAGATACTTCTCCCATAACACCAAGACCTTTTCCTTACGATAGGGTGGAGATGATCAGAAGGCCAGGTATGTGAGTAGAGCCTGTGACGTGCCACAGACATGTGTGCCTGAAAGTGATGCTAAATGATATCAGCGTTAACTCCTGCTCCTTTGCTCTCCTTCATCTTTAAAAGATTATGAACTCTCTTTAGAAGTTTCCACTTAAAGGTGTGGCTGACTCTTCAGCATATGGGGAATGTATGTCATTAAAAGTAATAACCACTTTTTTATATTAAGAAGACCAAACTGTTAGACAAATCCCTGACTGTGACTAAGTAATGATGCATAGGAATATGGCCCGCCTGCTCTCTCTTTTCCTAGCTACCTTCCTAGCTAACTTCTGTCCTTTCTCAGAATCTGCCTTAAATACTCTTATGCATCCCAAAGCCCAACTTGTCCTCTTTTTCGTGCCTAAAATGAAAAATTGCAAAAGAAGTGGGATAACTTTATAAAACACAATAGAATCCCCTAGATTTAAAATAGTTTGTATCTTTTTCTTTCTTCTTTCTTTCCTCTCATTCTTTTTTCTTCCTTCTTTCCTTCCTCCCTTCCTCTCTTCTTTTCTTTCTTTCTTTCTTTCTTTCTTTCTTTCTTTCTTTCTTTCTTTCTTTCTTTCTCTTTCTTTTCTTTTTTTTCCTTCCTTCCTTCCTTCCTTCCTTCCTTCCTTCCTTCCTTTCCTTTCCAATTATGAATTTTCTCATTTCACATCATGTGATAGCTATTTTTAAGGCTCAAAGACTTGATGAGCTACCCTATTTGGCTCTGTGGGATTATATTCAATTATGACGTCAACTACACTCCTTTGTCCTTTCATAAGCCGAGCCACTTCCTATGCCTCCTATAGTGTAATGGTAAGCAATTGTCTTGACAGAGATATCTGCATGCACAGCTAGCTCTCACTGAAAGACTTTCCCCAAGAAAATCCTTCAGGTTATGTGGTGATACTATCTTTTGTGGTCCTCATATAACTTCTACCTAAATTAATTACAAGTGGCCCGGATACCTTGGTTAAGGAGTTAGCTCATAGGTCTCTGTTAATATCACGATGACACACATCGATGAAAATTTACCTAGAGTAAGGGATGTGGCTGTGCTATAATTCCTAGTGGCCTGGTTTAGTATAACGATGGACTCCATGAGCAATGGTGGTACAGACATCCTCAGTGGAACAGAAGGGGGGATGTGTGCAACCAAATGTGGTATTAGCCAGACACCAGGCAAATGTCGCAAAGGGACACAAGAAGCGAGTTCTTCTTCTTTCTTCAGCTTAGTGCTCTAACAGTATCTACCAAATGTGAGAAAGGATCTTGGACATCTGTCTACTTCTCCTGTCTTGCTCACACTTACTGTATTTTGTCTGAAAGAGGAAACAATCTCTGCTCAGGGAAATCTATGGGGCAAATGCAGTGTTATTTGATGATTAGGGAAGAGACAAAACAGGCCTCTCTAGTATCTCCATGTGGCTCATCCTCCTTCTCATGGAGTTAACACCTGAACACTCCCATTTCGGGGGACTTGTTCAGTACATGGTGCTCACTTCTGCAATGCCGCAAGGCCCGAGCCTGTCAAGAGCCAGGAAATGTATGAATCCCTCAGGCTCATGAAACAAGAGTGGAGTCTGAAACCCTCTCTCCTAGGTAACTTCATCCACTTTACTGATCCGTTCCACTGTTGGCTCACCCCATCAATAGTAGGCACTTTCATGGACAGTGATATTCTGAGTGACTCCTGACTGGGTTCTGAAGATGGGGCTAGGAGGAATGTGGAGTCCTGCCCTTGGGAGGGGACACAGCCTGGTTTGAATACACACTGATGTCATGTGACAGCCATGGATGGAGGAGGGGGTCTGCTCCGTACCTCCCTCCCCGCCATCTCCCCCAGCAACTCGTGACAGCCGCATCTCACAATTACAATGCAGGACAGTATCTACAGCACAATGAGTCTATGTACACATGGACCATTCCATTGGCATGCTTTAGAGAGAGACACACACACTCTCACACACATGTACACTCACGTGAGAGCGAGAGACTCGAGCACACACACACAGTGGAAAACTTAAATGGCACTTCCTAGCATCTGCGGCGTGACCAGTGCTCCGGAGGGCGTGGGGCGAAGTGAGGTCGGGCGGGCTGGATCAAAGGATCTCTGTGGTGTGGGTGTGGGGCGATGGAACACACTGGCGGGACAGGGGTGATCTCAAAAGTTGGAGAAAGAGTGGAGGCAGAATAGTCGATGAAAGCTCAACACAAGATTCCATTGACAGTCTGAAATGGCTACAAGTCAGCTCAAATAAGAACAGAATAAAGAGATTATGGAAATATAAACACCGAAGGCAAGACCTTATACTTTTCCCCACAGATGATAACGGATGAAGGAGGAAGGATAAACTGTGTGTGGGGGGCGTTAATATTCATGTGATTTTTCTTGGTCTTATTTTTACAATATCCGGATGTCCTCAGCAAGATACAGTCTTTGCACAGCGTTCATTTGCTTAGATATACACAGATCATGGTAGAACATTTCATTTCCCACCCTGAATTATGCTCAACTTTTTTTTATTGATGGACTTTTAAAATCGTTTTAAATGTTGGATTTTCTTCATTTTCCACATTTCCCCCTTCATTTCTAAACACACAAGGTTGTGAAATAAAGTCTCCCCCCCATCTTGCACACGTGCTCTCTCTCTCTCTCTGTATCCGGTGTGACACATTGTTGTGTGTTTTTTAAATTACTTTTAAATTTTTATTCTATTAACATTTGCTGAGAAGGCAGAGCAGGGATGCTGCCAGCAGCCACAGTGGTACGGCCAGACTGATGGATCCGTTTATTCCTCTCACCGACCCAGGTCCTGCATAGTAAAGAGGAGAGAGAGAAAAGAGGATAGTTATACTCTGATTGTTTTTTGTTTCAGCCGAATGTTGATAGGACTCAAGGTAAGGCGTGGCCAGGTACTGATGCTCCAATGTCTCTGGTCTGTGTGCTCTCCAAGTGGGGCTCTAAATCTTTGCTAATCCTTCTCATCCTGAGGTTTAAGTATCTTTTTTTTTTTTTTTTGGTACCGAGAATTGAACTAACAACCTTGCGCTTGCCAGGCAGGTGCTGTGCCACTGAGCTATATCCCCAGCCCATGAAGTTTAAGTATCTTATAGAGCATCACTTGTCAAAACACTTCCAAATCCAAAAGTGCTTTTGCTGGAGCAGCCTCTAAACTGGCCATCACCACTGTATGATGTGCTGTGTGTTGTCCACTAACTCTGGCCTGCTGTGCCCACTCCTCAGGCTGAAGCCAGTGCTGGTCCTCCAGGGCCTTCAACAGCTGGGTGCAAGCTCTTCCTCTCAGTTCATCACAGCACAGTACCAGTCTCACAAGCACCATGACTCCTTAGCGTCTTAGAGAAATAGCAATTTTCTATTTGTTAACTGGGAAGGGAATCATGATACAGTAGCTTTTAGGGGTGGGTGGCACCTTATGAAGGTAAAAGGTAAGTCAGCACACTGTAGATTCTCAAGTGGCAGACTGGATCATCTTGCTCCAAGTCTTCATTTGTCACTTTGAAAATCAGAAACCATATCAGTGACAACAGCAAAAACAAACAAACCAGCTGGGGATGTTAAGAGGGAGGTCCTTACTAGCAGCAGTCCTGAGATTTGAACTTATGCAGGCCTGAACCAGGCATGACAGTCTATCACCTTCTGCCACCTTAGTGTGGCCAGCGTTGGGTTCGCAGGAGCAGTGGGTGAAGGTCAGAGAGGGACAGTGGTAGGGAGGACTTGGAGATAGGGTTTGTGTGCTGATGGGCAGAGGAGGGTTGGGGTAGAAGCTGTAGGTCACTGAGGACCTTCTCTCCTGTAGCGTGTTACATTTTCTCTTTTTATTCATGTCCCATTAAAGTAAAAAATCACTATAGATGCTTTGGTTTTGAGGCTACAGACTTAGATAATTACTTAAAAAAAGAAAGGGGTATCACTCTCATTATGGGTCCCTTTGAAGATTTTAGGGCACATATGCAGATGGGTGTGTGTGTGTGTGTGTGTGTGTGTGTGTGTGTGTAACTATGATGGCATACAATTGCAATGGAGGTGGAAGCAACTTCTGGTACATGAAACTTCTCGTAATCTGTTTAGAAACATACCAGTTTGAAGGCAGGATAACAGGGGGAAATGCTCAATTGAATGCTCAATGCTCAATTTGTATTTTATGTAAGTAATAAAAGCAATAAGGACAGTAACAAAACAACAAACAGCTGCCTACTGGGCCCTGTAATAAACATGAGCACATACCTGTGCTGAGGGAAGTACATCATTAAACGTGTTCTACACTGAAATAGAGGCACAGAGAGACAAATCCACAAACTTACTTCCAGCACTCATAAGCAGAGAGACTGGGTGTTCAGCCCGGTGTTTGGCTCCCCAGCCTTTGCCGGCCAGCAGTATGCAGTGACTCTCAATAGAAGGGTGGCCAGCGGGAATATGAAGCTTGTGTTGGATTAAAACAGTAATGAGCTCAAACAAACCTACAAACAGTTAGCCATTACCCCTGCAAAAACGATTCTGAGTAAAGTACTTTGGGCTAGAGCGCCTTCTTGGGAATATTAAGAACACTACTTAATACAAGAATACAACTTGTTTTCGCTTTGGCTGCACATACACTAAAAGTACAAACATAGACAAAGTTTGAGCAGCACACTTTCTATGTAAAATGAGTCTTACCATGCATAATGGAAACAAATTAAATAACCAGCTACATCTCTGATTTTGTGAATGGCTATGGGTTGTGTTAATGAAAGTCAACTTAGGTGCTTTCTGTTTTCAGTAGATTATGTGTGTAGCCTCAAGGACCTGATTAGTAACTTCTGACGCGGTACTTGTCCCAGGTATCCCTAGGCTCAGCTCAACATCCTTCTTCTTCACTCTCTCCTTGTCTTCTACCCATAGACTTTTTGACTTGGGGGACCTCAAAGCTCTCTTAAAGGAAATAGCCCAGGGTTTCTAGCCAGGTGGGTAGAATCCTTTACTTAGTTCCTTGTTTATTCTTTTAGTTCCTGCATATACATTAGATGCCATCAGCTTCTTGGAACACTGTATGAGTGTATCAATGAGACTTTCATGACAGAGAAAGACTACACAAACATTAGGGCTCCACATAGGTAAGGAAAAATAGTGTCTGTTTTATCCTGAGAATAACGTGAAATAAGTCCTCAGATGAGATAGAGCACGTTTAAGGTGCTATGGTCATAGGCAGTCCTCAGGAAATGTTTATTGCCATGATCTCACTTTTAGCCACAAAATAGGCTAAATTATGTTTCTGATATCCTGGAGTTGAGTGGTATCTGAAGAAGGCTAAAAAACATAGTCTTATCATTTTATTTACATGGTAGTAAATATTTAAGAAAGCAAAATATTCATCATTGAAAATACTTTCTTTTTCCCTGTGTATAGGTAGACAAACACGTTCATATGTAACATTTTCGCATTCTTGCTAACACCTGTGTGAACATACATGCCAACACACACAGGGGAGGATATAAGCTATATACATGCTCACATATGACATACACATGTATTACTGGTACTATAGTATACATGGTGCAAAATTAGCTATTACTTTCATATGCTATTTTATGCTATCACAGAGCATACCAATACGAATATGATGATAATCTTTAATTTTATCTTTATTAGTATTACTATATATCTAAATAGCATGGTGTACTTCTCTTAAAAATATCTTTGTTTCTATCAACTATTATTTATTAAGTGCTTTCATATAGCTATTTAAAGTGCTTCTGTGGCTTGCTCTTGTCATAATTGACTTTGAGACTCAATAAATAGGCTTGAAAAATACCAGGGCAAATGGGTGATAGTTGGGAAATCATCATAAGTGTGCGTGCAATTATAGATATATATGAGTGCATAGGAGACTACTTCAGTTAATGGCTATTTCAGGGAAGAATAATCAGCAAAATCATTAATTATGTTTTAGCTCATAGTTATGAAATTTCTGCTTATTTGTGGAAATGCAAATGTTAAATCTTATTTTTTATGCCAGATGGCCAAGCTGAGCAAGTGCTTTCATATACTGACAGATAGAATGAAAGCAAGAGTCTGCAAACATAAATTAGCCTTAAGAATAGATGGGCAAATAAAACCACATTCAAAAACTTGCTACACGCTTTCATATCACAGACAAAAATCACATCTTGGTATTTAACCCCATTCTATGTGGATTACATGCATGCGTATGTGTGGCTTCTCAGAAGTAATCAGTAAGGTATACCCAGATTATTATTGTTATTAAAATAAAATTTGGATTGCTGAAATGAATGAAATACTGATCCAAATGAAAAGATATTGGTTTGCGAATTGGGTTAAGGCTTTTAATGTTTGACACAAAAAGGCAAAATTCACCTGCAGCAAGACTACGCCATGAGTCAACATACCAGGTCGGTTTTTTTTTTTTTTTTTTTTGGCTTTTTGAGACAGGGTCTTGCTATGCAGTTCAGGTTGGTCTTGAACTTGCAATGATCCTCCTGCCTCAGCCTCCCAAGTGCTGGGATTATAGGTGTGCGCCACTACGCCCGACGGGTTCCAGGTCATTTTTCAACCCCAGAATAGGGTAAAGGAGACTCTGGCAGGCAAAGAGCTTGCTGTGGCAATCCTTACAAAAGGGCAATGCTTGCAGTTAAGGGCAAGATTAAGAAAGCACCCCGAAGTTGAGAGATATGAGAATTTTTTGTCAAGCCTCTGAACTATAAGTGTGAGCCAAATGATTAGTCTTCCAGTAAAATCTCAAAGAAAGGCAAAGGTAATTCCTCAGCACCTGTTTTTAGAGGGTATGTGCTTGGATATATTGGGTAATTCAAATGGGGCCAACAGTTTTCCATTCTTTCTTCTGAGTCCTGAGGGCTCATTTCCTGGATTTGGGACTGGATTTATTACAAGTGGTCTTTAATGATGTCCTCTGTAATCCCTGAGAATTTCTTTTAGCCACTAAGGAATCAAATTTAGTCGTAATTTTATTCTGGATATAGTTCAGCCATGTAAGAAGAAAAGAAAGGCTGGAGGAGTTTTAAAACTCGAATTTTTTTTAGAATTGTTAAAGACTAATGAAGTGACTGACAAAACAAAATAACAATTTAAAAAACAATTTGTTAAACAAGGAAAATGAGCCATCTACGAATCTCCCCAGTCCGTCTCTTCAAGGTTACCCAGACATGCAGGCTAAGAAGGCACACCACGGTCCTGGGGAGTTATGTTAAAAGGTGAATGCGATAAGATTGACTTTGGTGACACCTGCTGGCAGCTTTCTGCCAGTACAGCTCCCTTTGGGTGAATGAATTGAAGATGGAAATCTGTAATTGCCACAGGCTAAGGCAGATTAGAAGAGGGTGTAAAATGATGTTTCCATTGACTGTGGGTCTTAGAATTAAATCCAGACTCTTCCAGTATGAATTTTTATGCATTATATTCACCCTCTGTAAAGGGATATTTGGGCAGGCTGAAGTATTTGCACAGAAAAGTTGGAATCATCAAATCTTCCCCATCAAAACAGCCTCCTGTATTTTTGGCACACACCTTTTGACATATTAGGTACTATTTCTGGTGCCGTGAGAGTGCTTATCTTGCCATCCTCATCCTAGTGTGTCACGTATAACACTAGCCAAAAAGATTCAAGTGCAATTAACACTTCAGTAATCACAGTGTTGGGGAGAGGTGAAGGGCAGAGGAGGTGTCTTCATTACTTTTCTCTTATTGCTGAGACAAAATACCTGAGGTCCAAATTACAGGCTGACTTAGCTCACAGTCTGTGGAGGTTTCAGTCACTACTCAGCTGGCTCCAAGGCAGGGTGGTGTGGCTGAGGAGCAACTGTTCATGGCAGCTGGGGTGGCAGAAGCAACAGGAGCAAAAATGCAGGGAGCAAGACACTTTCCCTCCCTTATGTTGTGTGCAGGCTGCCTGCCCCTAGGGCGGGTGTAGCACTCACACCACTAATCCCAGCACCGGACAATGAACCAATCACAAACTCTAGATTCCACTGTCTCTAAAAAGCCCGCCCCCAGGACCGAAGGAGGCTTTTTGGGGACCTCAGGCAAACCGTGACAAGAGGACATGCTTTCATGCTCCAGATGATCCCGCCTGCTTCCTGCTGCCTCTGTGAGGACCTGCTAGAATTGGCTAGAAACAAGACACTGGCCCTTTCTTGGGAGGAAGGAACAAAGGGACTATGCTCTCTGTAGCTCTTGGAAACTGGTCTTACGGCCTAAGTCCAACAAAAACAGGTTTTGGTCATCTATAGTGAGCTCAGTTATCTCATTTCCCATGGAGACCCGGAGAAGAAATCCTCCTGGGGGACAATCCCTCATCACGTAGAGGATCCAGAGGACTTCATCAGGGTGGCGCCTGGCCACACAGGGGCTGCTTTGGCTCCGCGCTGGATACAGACACTCTCAGGGATCATCTATCGTACTTGTACAGAGGGATTCTTCATTAGTAACTGTTTCCACCTGAAGGTCCGTTTTGTGAAGTCTTGCCGTGGTTGTGCTGTCTTTGCAGAGCAAATAAGCAGCTCATCTGTCCCAGGGCTGCTGCACAAACATGGGACAGTTGAGGGACATGACATCGTATCCTTACCAGGTTCAGCAGCAGAAAACTGAGGCTTCACAGAGGCCTGGGAATATTAACTGCTCAAATGATTCATTCTAATAGATACTCTTGTGGCTATTCCTAGTCTCGATGTCACTGTCTCGCCATGTAGTTATTTTCACAGGCAATGAGTTACTGTAAAATAAGCCAGGTGTCTCTTCTGAGAGTCCAGACAGGGGCGGAGACTGTCTGAAAGCTGCAGTTCCTCAAGGGTTAGACACGGACTCTTCAGATGGAGAAGCAGGGGGCGCCGGGAAGTGGGGCAAAGAACAATTTGCTCAGACCAAGACCCAGGCCCAGACTCTAAAAGTGAAAAGCTCTGAAACGCAGTATAAGAATCATGGGTTGGGTCAGGGACTTTTATAAATAGGAGGGTTCACAATTTGGGAAAATAATGCTAAATGTGTGATTGCAAATTATCATTACAAACTGTTGAACTGAAATAAACTGAAATGTAGAAGTCCGCAATGCATTGCTCTGAAAACTTCACTTTAACATATAGGAGGAAATCGGAAATAAAAGCATACCTTTTTGCTGGAAGTGCACGGTGGTGCCAATTTCTAAAAAAGAAATATTCAGCGAAACAAAAGCAAATAAATTTTTTTTTAATCAACTGAGAACGAACAAGAAAACAGACTGGTTGGTACTCTCCACCGAAAGAAGACAGAGAAAAGGCAGGAAATCATTCCAGCAGGAGAAGAGATTCTAGCGACTGCGTGAAAGGCAGAAGGAGACAGGCGGTGTGGCTGGAACAGATTCGGAGCTGGAGGTGGCAACCACGGATCTGCAACTGCAAATACCCGGCGCTCCGCGTTCTGCACGCGAGCGTTGAGAATGGAAGTGAAAGCAGTGCAGGGCGGCTCTTTAGGCTGCTTGCTTCTCATTCCCATCCTCCCATTTCGCCCTTAGTTCCCTCCACTCAACGCAACTGGCCTCATGTCTTCTTCCAATAAGTGAGTCTATTCGAACCCTGGAGGCTTCGCACCTGCTCTCTCATCTGCTTGAAAGGTTCTCCCGGGTAGTTATCGCCCACCTAGTCACGCATGTAGATTTGCATCAACATGTCACCAACTCAGGAAGGACTTCCTCATCGCTTTTTCAAAAGTAGCATTCTCTGTTATTTTCTCTATTTCTTACTGAGCTAAGTAGCACTCATCTCCACCTGGAACCATACTAAACATTCACTTATCTGCTTGTTTATGTTTTGTGTTCTGCATCGGGACATGTGCTCCCTGAGTGCCTTCTTCTTCTGGGGCTCCCCTTGTCACTGCTCTTCCCCCAACCTTATCAAAATCTACCAGCTCACCAGCTTTCCTTTGTGCCTCCTGGCACCGTGTTTTCTCTGCCGTAACGCACGTGGCCCAGGGAGATCTCATCCAGAAATCTCACTCAGGTTCAGAATTCGGGTCTCACTTCTACAAGGAAATCTTCCCTGATCTCCTTGGCATGTTAGGTCTCTTTATTATAAGCTCTGCTTTTCTTCATAGCACTCATTTCAGTTTAAATTGAAAAATGTGTTTGATGCTTTGATTAATACCTGTCTTTTCGGCACTGGACTTTTCATTCCTTGGAGACAGGGGCTTTGTCTGTGAGTGTTTGCTATTGTAGCCCAGCCAGTATAGTTACTCTGAATGCACAATGGCCCAAAACAGAAAAGGAAAAAAAAAAAACAAAAAAACAAAAGAGAGAAAAATAAATATATGCCAAGCATCCTCCTAACCTAAAAGGAAAAAGAAAAACAGGGAATCTGAGAAACTAAATTCTTTATTCTGTGACATAGCACAGAAGGGTCAGATCGTTAAAATCAAGTCTGCAAAGTTTCCAAGGTTAGGGCAGCCCATTAAACCCTTCCCTTAGAGATGTAGTTTTTTTCTTTGTCCACCCAAAGTCGGCCGCAAGGAGATGCCATCAAACAGTGTAATATTCTCTGGGATTCTTATAGTTATAAAGAAGTGCTCGACTGTCCTCATGGCTGGTGTCTGAAAATGTTCGGCTATAGCTCAGTATTAGCAAAATTAGTCCCATCCTGTCTGCTCCTAAGAGCTTGCTGCATGTGCTGGCGGGGAAAGTTTCCCTGAACTGGTCAGATATGGAAGAGGAGCTGCGCATGAGTGTTCTGGTGTGCTGTAATTGCTGGATGAGCTCTTGCTGCCCTTCTGAGGGTGCTCCTAGAAATCAACACCTGCCCTTATGTGACTGAAGTACCTTATTCGTAGTTAACAAATGTTACATACTGCAAGGTCAAACAGAAGAATGGATCGTGCGCTTACCCTGGAAGTGGCCTAGGTCCTGTTAACATAGAGAACACCAGTCCCTACCTGCTGACAACCTTCTCTGCACATCTCGTGATCTGACCACTGATGTGTCGAACTGTATATTAATCACACTGTCAATTTGTATACTAATCACACTGTCACTAGTTTCTTTTCTAATATTCGCTTTATACCTTTTCCTTGCAACTAACATACTACTTTAAAATTCATTGGAAAAACACTGGGAGGAAAGTGTCCATCATAATAGGAGGAAACTGGAGCCCAGTGAGGTTACACAAATAACAAAGGAAAGAAATGGGACTGAAATTTAGGACTCCTAGCTCTGTAGCCCAAATACAGAACATTATTCTCTGTGCCTAGTTTTTTTTCCTACATAAGCAAGGTGTCTATAACTGTAGGTGCATCTCTGGGATATTGAAATCATACAACACCAGTCAGAAAAGCTCTGCTCTTGAACAAAGCATGCTTCTTCTATCTTGGGTCAAGGCTGTCTGTTTGTCATCGTTTAGAATTTATTAGGACCCTTCTGGTAACAGAACGATCGCTTTTAGCTAAAGGGGCTTAGATTCTTGACACGACCACATTCAGGTAAAGAATATTAGGGTTTCCTTGCTTCATGTCTGGTCCACAGGATTCATTGGAGTAATTTCAAGCAGTTGTTCAGGCACTAGGGCAGGTAAGAAGGTCAGTGAATCTGCTTTAACTAGAAAATAACTCTTAACTTCTTATAGTTTCATATTCAGTAAGGTGTGTTTAATTAACCTGTCTCTTGTAAATTTGTGCCGCTGGGGATGTAGCTTAGTGGCACAAGTGCCTGCCTGGCAAGTGCAAGGTCCTGAGTTCGAGTTCTGGTACCAAACAAAAAAAATTTGTGCCCTGTCTTAGATTAATAAATCCACACGCTGTACCAGACATGTAATAAGCACTGAATTAAATAAGAAGTAGTTGCCAGCTTTGTGGTAAAAATCCCTTCTAGAGAGGATTTTCAGTGAAATTTCTGTAGAAGAAAAAATAGATATGCCAGCAAATAAGCCATGGCAATACAGGTCCAAATAATAATAATAACAATAATTATCATAGCAATAATGATGGTGATGTATAAATTTTTTGTATAGATATATTGCAGCAATGTGATGAATAAAACATCTGAACATTAGAAAATTCTAGCACAAAAATGACGGGAAAGTAGATTGATTGGTTAGGACAAAACTGGCAGCGCTCCTGCAAGAGCTTGACCCTGGCACTGCTTGTCTGAGTCTGTAAGTTCTAAGCATATGTTAGAGGACAGGCAGTCCTCTGCTAAACAAAAGAAAGATATCACACACATATTTCTTTCTATAAAAAGTCAGAAAAAGTCATATAAAAATATGTATATTTTACTGAAGTAAATTAAAAAGTCAAGCTACGTTACAAGTTAAATTTTAGGCACTCCTTTTCATATAAATTGACTTCTCTGAGAAATTCAGATCTTAAAACTTGAAATTCTGTGTGATTTTAGGAAAAAACCTAGAGTGTTTATTCTGTATTGCGATTTCCTAGCATTTTTTTTCTTTTTTTTTCCTGTAGGAATAGAAAATTCTCTGATGAGGCAAAAATAATCTGTGTTGTTGCGGTTTGATCTTTGGAAATTTGGTTACGTGCTGCCATCTTGTGGTGATTTTAAGATACGCTCCTGTGCGCTGTCTAAAGAAATCGCCTCTGTCCATGGGGTGGCAGTAGCGAGAGAAATAAAAACTTTTTTTCAGTTTCACAGCAGGAATGAAATGTTACTCTTCAAGAGGGGATATTTCCTAGCATTGGAAAAGAATTTATTTTGGCCCTTACCAACTGAAAGTTATTCGTTTTCTAGTGCAAAGATGACCTTATGTTTTTGATGAAAACTGCAATATCGGGAATATTATTTTTGTAGGGATTCCCTGGGTACACTCATTAGGACATACCAGGAACCTGCGATTTTTTTATGTCTTTCATGAAAAGTTTCCCATCCATACTGATCTGGCTTCAGCAAATTCCCTTACAAGTGAGCAGGCAGTAGAGGCTCGGAGTATCACTTAAAAAGATCTGCAGGGATCCAGTGGACAGAACATCGAGGGATACTAGAGTAGAGAATCCTGAACACATTGTCTGAAAGCATTCCTCTCAGATGCTTAGATCTCAGCGCCTGATAAGCGGGTACAAGAAGGCACTGGGGAAAGAATTTAATTCTAAACGCTAGGGAAGGCAAGGGCCTCGACGGAAGTATTTATGCCAACCTTCTTTGAGTTTGAGCATCTGTGTTCAGCCACGTTAAACATGAACCATCAAAAAATAAATGATTCAGCCTCTCTCATTGGAATATGTATGTCTTTTTGCTTAATACTGTATCCTTAGCTTGCTATTTTCCCTAGTACAGCATAAGTATCCAGTAGATTTGCTGAACAAATATCTGAGTGGATGAATGAATGACTGGGCTAATCCCTCAGGAGCTCAGCTGAAGCTGCAGAGGGTGGGGGATTGTATTATGTCTTTGGAGCTACAGAGCTTTAACCCCAAGGCAAGTCTATTACGGAGAATTCAGTCCTTTTAAGAGGCACATGGGGCTAGAAGGTCCTACTAGCACCTCCCAGATCCTGGCAGGTAGAAAAGTTTCTGAAGGGCTCAGCTTTACTTAAAAACATCTTCAAGCTGAATGAGAACTGAAACATAAACAAAAACTGAAGGCCTTTTTTTTGTTCAAAGATCAGAAAATGCATTCTTCTTCTTCTTACCTCTTGTTCTCTCAAAATTAGTTTTGGAAAGATGAAAGATGCTTCATTAGAAACTCCAAAGTCATAGTTTGGGAAATCCTCACTGTCTTAGCAAATTTGTATACCTTTGTTCACGGAAAATTTTGTCATTTCGATTCCTTTGAGTTCTGTCTGGGCTTACGAGGATACAATGAACCCATAGGGAGAAAGATTTTCTGTGGTTTAACCCTGCACTCAGTCAAAAGAAGGTGTCTCTAACCTCCGTATAAGCATTCCCTCCCATCCACATGCAGATACGTAGCGTATGGGGGTTTATTTTGTTTGCACAGTTGTTCTAATTCCAGGGTGTTTATTTGGACATCAACTTTTCGTTTTTCACTTGCCACAGCTATTTGGATAAGGACGTCTTCTCTTTGTGTGTGATACAACACTTGAAAGCCAATCTCCTGACATACTGCAGGTTTTAAAATGATGTATTAGGGGATTTAATGTATTTGGTGGCATTTTTCCCCAGGCCAGTCAGTATAAGTGTGTGTTTTTAGGCCATAGAGAATCCAGACT